AATATTATGGGGGATAGTAGGCAACCTTGTTTCACTCCTGTCTTCACTTCAAAAGTATCATTGAGCTTTCCATTGTGAATTACTTGGCACGTGGCATCTTCATATATTTGTTGAATGAGGCTGATAAAGGTTTGTGGTATTCCGTAGTGTTGAGGCAGTTTCCAAATTACTTCTCGGTTGATGCTGTCGTAGGCCTTTTCAAAGTCGATGAAGTTGAGGTGTTGAGCTGACTGCCACTCTATACTTTGTTTTGTGATGATGCGTGACGTAGCATTGCAATTTGGTCCACACATGATTTGTAATTCCTGAATCCAGCCTGTTCCGGTCATAGTTTTGAATTCAGAGCATACTTAAACGAAACTAATCTAGCTATATTAACCAATCGAATCAGTTCCCAGCCATTCACTTCCATTCTGGCATACATCACCCCTCTGTCTGTTGGCCTAATAACCTTTAGTCTCAATGGTAGGCAAGATTATGTCTTTTACTTTCTATAACTTTGGCATTTTCTCAACTTGAAATAGCTTTTACACTACTGCGCCATCCTCCTTTAAACAAAACATACGTCTTTTCTGGTGACGCTCGTGTGCAAAGTTTCTGTGGCTGTTGTAGTCCGTCAGCTTTTTATTCAAGGGACTTCCTTCCTGCATCTCCATGGCCACTGCTGTTGCATCCATCACTTGTCGTGAAACATTTCCTAACTTTCTGATATACATCAGCTTATCTTAAATAAACTATGTTGCCAACAGCTGTGCTCATAATTTTTCTTCGGTACTGAGTATTGCATAGCGGAAGAGATTAGTGAGTTTCATCTCCAGCACCCGGTGGGTCTCTGAGTCACTCACCCCTGCACCTCTGAACTCCTTTATGGCTTTCATTCTATCCACTATGCCATCAAATTTATTTACCAGTCGAGCATTCATAATCTCCAATACATCACTCTCCTTGACAACCTCCATCTCGCCGTACATTGCCTCGTGAACCGCACTCACCAATCTCGCCAGAAAGGTCCCCAACACCACTAACTTCCGGGTTCCTACCAATCCCTCACTCCCACAGGCACGTCCGGAACCTACACCGTCGAATGCGGCAGGTAAGGGCATCTCCATTTAGGAGATAAACAGCGCTTCCAATGCGTAGCAGTCAAACAAGAATATAAAACTGATCATGGTGGAGTTACCAAACCTAACAATAATTCATCAACTTGCATATAATCGTTTTTGCTGTATTTCATTCCGCTTAGTTCTCGAGCCCTTCATTTTTTCATTCTATATTGTAGATTTTTTGTTTGATTCCCCACCAGTGAATCCTTATCACTTTCGAGATGATTTTATAGACTACTTATATATTTTCTAATAAGTAGCTCTTAATACAGTGGTATATATTGTGTTGGGAAAATAAAGTCAGTTAACAACAGAAACTGAATCAGCGTTTCACAGCTATCCATTTTCATCAGTAAGGAATACTGTTAGCCTTAAGTAACTAGATGTTAATCATGATATTTTAACGTCTTTTCTGAATGAATAGACAAATAAGGGGGTAACGGGAAAGCTTTTTGGCTTAGGATGAAGTTATTTACTGATTATTGAAAGGTTAAATGTGTAAAGATGAAACATTGGTTGAAGATGAAAGTGTTTACCAATTCTTCCTTTGGGTAGTCTTCAGTGTAAGCTAAAATTTCATTTTTTGTTTGTTTTATTTTCAACTTCTTAAAGACTCCCATTATAATTCAAAAACTATTTGAGTAGATAAAGAATATTCCTTTCATCAACTTCGTCATCTTCAGTTCTGCAGTTATATATCCATATTGTGTAAATCTGTGTCAACAGTAGTGAGATTTAATTTAACAGTCTATGAATAATATTTGCTTCTGAAAAGTCTGATGTGAACATTAATATCAGTATCAGTTATTACTGGGATTCAGTTCAAAATAATTTACCATCTGGAAGATTAAATGGTATTGTGTAACACTATAAATTGGAAATGAATCATATTAACTTCTATACGAGTAAAGCTTATCACAAGTCAAAAGAGTAAATGAAATATGGTGGAGTGTGGATTAAACATTGGATCAAGAAAGATAATTTGAGGAATGCTAACTTAGTAAAAATGTAACTCATATCAGGGAACAAACAGAATGCGATAAAATCATTTCAGGTTATAGGGATAGTAGTTGAAAATTAGGTTCCTGGGACAAGATGCTAAGTAATTTGTAAATTTTGAATGAGGCCAAGGCAGTTGTAGTGACAACACCTTTTCCTGAACACATTGTTCGGATTGCTTATTCATGATTGCCACCGTTTCTGTTAACGGAAATAATACTATTATTCTCTAAAAATTAAACATTGTGGACATATAACTGTAAGAAGTGGAGAAGTTATTGAAAAAGATATTCTTTTTTCATTCATCAAAAGGCGGCCTGCTTAAACTTTGGGTTACCGAAAATTCTTCATCGAGTACATACCATTAAATTCTTCCCTTTTACTTTGTTTTAATTTTTTAAATATGTCGTTTAAACATGTCCAGTACTCTTACACACTTTTAAAATGGTTTCAAGCTATAACAACAAGAACAAACGAATCAACGGTAAGAGATAGGCTTATAAATGTTCAGCAGTACGGTACATTACTATTCCTTGGATAACCATGTCGAATGGCAGATTTTGGTTACAGCTGAATAAACTACCATAACCAAACTAGATATCTGTTTCACATTATACCTTTGATTACTGTTATTATAAACATTACTCAAATGTAGCGAATACTCTGCTAAAAGAAATTGTACAGGGAATGAATCTGTTTAACTATTACTTGCTGAGAATTTCATACTGTACCACAAGTCTTGTTTGGAATAAAGTTATCATTATCATTGTTACCATTATATTATTTCAATTCTAAGGTTGGTCAAACTTATCATCAACAAATTTGTCAGGTATATATAAACACAATAGTACGTTTTTAATTTTGGTAGTATTTCACACAAAAAGAAAAAGGGCCAAGTGGAATATGACGAAGGTAATAACGATACTGAACGCAGTGGTATACTGGAACTGAATCCCAGTGTGAATATTACCCCTCAGCACATTATTCTTCACTGAGTCACACAAATATCAAAAGTCAAAGAATACCATGCGGCCTCAAGGACGACAATGTCAAGTTTATTTGATAAACTACAGCACATACAAATCCCACACATAGAAAACGTCCTAGGCCAAAGATAGATTTGCGCAATCCTATTGGCTACCGAATCGTCCAATAAAGTTATTTTATCAGTAAATAGACATAAATCAGAATCTGAAACAACCGCAACGGTTGATGACCATGAATGTTGATCTCCATATTTGGCCACTTCCAACCAAAAACTACTGCTCATAATCACATCAATCGTAGAAATTTCTTGTTTCTGTATTTGAATAACAAATTTTAATCTTTTCACTGACAAATTTCTCCAATGAAGTTTTTATTCTTTCATTAGTAATAAATTTCTTACGAGTACATTTATGCAGTAATCTGTTTGGTTGGTATTTGCAGAGGAATCCACGACGCACGTTTTGTTTTATTTAAGAATCGTCAGCTGGATGTACATGCACCCCAGTGTGGAGTGATGCTGTTCCCACTGAGACTCAAACCCCCTACCCATCGCTTCAAACCGCAAGACTTTATCCACTACGTCATGGAAGAACCAGAGCCACTTGTTGTTCAACGGGTAGTAGTTATCACTACTGATCGGCATACTTGTTATTCTTCCATTGTTTTATTGAATCGAATTGTTCGACCTCTCTTGGCATATTGGCTCCTATGCAGATGCCTCGATATTGCCTGAATGTTAATTATGGTAATATGTTTGGATCTACAAAGGAGCTCATATGGCAGCAGAGGTCGAACAATTCGATCGAATAAAACAACGGAGAATTACAAGTATGTCAATAAATAGTAATATATTTGTGTAGCTTGATGTTTATGTGGAATTTAATTATTTCAGTGTAGTATGCATAACGGACCAATATCAGTTAGAGAATCATTGGAGACCTTGCAGCATTGGATAGATATTTCGTCCTAGTAAGTGAATCCTCAACACCAGGCGCCAATGACCAGCCAGGAATCGAATCCAGAACCTTCAAGTCTCATGGTGAACGAGTTAACTGATTTCAACCTGCGATGAATACTACCTTGAAATATATATGTAAGAAATTGATTCATTTAATAATGAACACATTTTTGATAACCATAAATATTCGTAATTATCTTCCTTCACAGATCGTTTGGTTCTAAAATACTCCCAAAACTCTCTTCACAATACTGAGAATCTGCTCCTCACTGAGATATAAGAACAGAAGCATAGTATGACCATACTAGTATAGGGTAGAAATTGTTTCTCACAGAAGAAGAGAACAATAGTAAATGGTTGAAGTCATACCATGACTAAGGAATTTATTTAGATTGTTTTTTTCTGCATGACAAGCGCGTCTATTTGCTCCTACAGCAACTACTACCACCACGCAAAACAGATTTGTAACCAGAATTAGGGTCATTTAGAATTTCTTTAGTTCAACCGTATATTATTGATTCAAAAAGACCCTATAGTTCAGTTAGTTATGTTCAGGATTACAGTATGGCAGAAAAATATATCTACATCTGATTGTCATAGGACAAATTGTTTCTTCTTATGTCAGTAGAACGATAGACTAGGTGAGAAGCGAATGAACCTAGGAGAAATGTATTTATATTATGTAAGTTTGCAATTCGCAATATTTCTATATGACAGTTTCTTTGAACCAATGAATGAAATTTGGATAAAACTGTCACCAAGTTAAGCGATTGGTCAATTCTAACGTGTAGATATATGTGTGTATTTTCATGTAAATGACCTTGTCAAATAATACATTAGAAGTACACACTGTACGGTCACTGAGTTAGCTTTAAAAAGGAATGAAAAGCTGGAGATTGTATCCTAATATGAATAATTATCCAGTCTAGCTCATAACAAAATTTATACTTCTAATGTCATTTTTGATACGTATTTCAAGACCCGATCCTGGTACCCCGTGGGGTTTCCGACTTCGTGGAGGCCGAGATTTTGGAGAACCGCTGAACATTTCTGCAGTTACACCTGGAGGTTTGGCACAGACTTGTGGTTTACGCGCTGGAATGCGTATTTTATCTATTGGGCGTGATTCTGTACACCAAATGACTCATCAACAAGCACATCAAGCAATTATACGTTCCTGTAATGATCTTGAACTAGAAGTCTATGATACTGCTATGTACAACTCTAGTTGTACCACATCTCATCATATGAACATGTCTGTAACACAATCATTGGTCAGTATTGATTTATATAAACCAACTGAATCACAGAGATCACAATCAGCTGCGTCTGGAGTTACCCACCTTCGTACAAGTCCAGCAATATCACCCAATGGTATAATTATGACAGCATACAGTCCTATTTCACCTACAATACATAATCATACATCGGCTGAAAAGCTTACGTGGATCGTTACACACCAGTTTACAGACCACAAGGAAATATAACTATAAAACCATCCCATTCATCATCATACAATCTGACAACATATAGTCCATCTAATTCATCGATGACTAGTGTTAGCAGTAACTCGAAGTCACATCAATCAAATCAATCCTCCTTACTAAGAAAAGGAGTTCTACGGACAAAAGATTTTAAACTAAGCCCAATATGCCATGTATGTCAACAGCAAATACACGGACCATTTATTGATACTAACGATCACTGTTACTGTCCTAACCATTTTATATGTGCTCATTGTCATCAACCATTGAATGAGGATTGTTTTACTGAACAAAATGGAAAACTATACTGTGAACGTGATTTCCAACAGTATATTGCATGCCGATGTGGAAAATGTCATCAACCAGTTATTGGCAAAATTATTAAAGCTATGAATCAAACATGGCATCCAAATTGTTTCACTTGTCATTATTGTCGAAAGCCATTAGATGATAAGTTTTATATAGAAGATATAGATTGTGTATTATGTGAGGAACATTGGAAACAATTTCATGAAAGAGAATGTGCTAAATGCAAGCAACCAATCATAGAGATTGATCGTTTTATTGAAGCTTGCGGAAAACAATATCATGCTAAATGTTTCTGTTGTTCTGCATGTCAGACATCACTTGAAGGTAAACCATTTCATTCTAGAGATCAAAAACCTTTTTGTGTTGTACATGCTAATGCAGTTGCATTATTTGGCTGATGTAGATGATGTTCAGTTATTCACGATTAAGGTTAACTTTTCCTAGATGTTAGTCTGTTTATTTTTCATTTATTAGAGAATGAATCTCATGATATTCATATTATGATCATCGGTCAAGTTTTCTGTGTGTATGTGTATACAATGAGTTGCATCACACGGTTGATCACTTGATATTGCCGTCGGAAACACTTAGAAGCTGCACCTTCCAAAATACACACACGTACTCACATCCCATCCATTCCTTAAAAATTTGAACTAAAAACAAACATCTGGAAACTTTGAGTTCCTGTGTTCTATTTCTTCACCTCACCAGTTTACCACTTTTCATGTTTAGTCATATACCTATACCCAAAGCCTCAGATTAGTTCTATTTTAAAAGATACAGATCGTAGATATTTTTTCGTCGCATATTTTAATCTACATGAACGAATTAATTTACTTCATTTTTGTTTCATTTTCATACTATCAATAAATCATTTTAGTAGTAATGTAGATAAAATTTAAAAATTGACTTTTCATTCATTTAAACGGGATGGTTTAAGTTAGTCAAGTACTATTTTAAGCGTCATTTCACAGAATTTCACAAGACTTCTGAACGCCGATCATAATTAAACTTCAGAGTAGGAGATTTCATCTCAATCTCGAAGTACCATCACATTTCGATATGATGCAGAATAACTATTCAGCCGTATCTTTTTTGTTGGAATTTCAGTCATTAAGACTCAGGAATAAAAGTTAGCTAATTTAGCTTTGGTTCATGTACCTTGGCGATTATTATTCTAATGATTTTTCAAGACTCAAGGTCGTTTTAGTATCATTTGGATTTATGCAAGCCTTCCACAGCTGCTAATAAACAAATATGATCAAACTTCAGTTCTCAATCCTTAAAAGAAAAGCAATAATGTTATGTTCAAGCTTATCAGTGTTTGAACTGGTCACTTAGAAAGGTATCTAACTCTTCTAGTTATAAACATCAAATCTGGTATGGTCGAGCACTTTTCTTATACTTGAGGAAGATATAGTTACAGAATTTTAAATCCAAGGATTCATAATGGTCAATATCTTCATCTACTACTTATTTCTACTATTAAACTAAAATAAACCTGATCTCTGAAAATTTCTAATGTTGATATTTAATTTCTTGGTTCAAATAAATCATACTCATAAGCTGTCTGATAAGAAAAACGTTTTTCATCATACTATAGTGCTGAAAGAATTGATGACCCTAGAGTTCATGTGGATAGTCCAGTTCCCAAGAAGTTCATTCTGGTTATAACTGTATTCATTTTTGAGATTTGTAGGAGTCAAATTGGTATTCATCACTGACTGACATTAACTGAAGAACCACTGAAAACCAAGGACCACAGGACAGCTGTTTCTTTCTAGTATGGAACTACATAGAACTGTTCAGCTATGGCCTTCAGTTCTCATGGGGAGTAGATTTCCATTGAGCTACTGGGTCAGGATTCAATAGTTTGCATTTTCATACTTCCACCAATTCGCGATATACCCACAACTTCATGCAATTCTATTCCTTGTAGTTTTCCTGAAATCCCACTTGGTTTGCCTCCCCATTAGCTAATTTTCATTAGAACTTCGTGGGATTTCATCTCAAATCAAGTCATCAGTGAGCGCTAAACAGTAACTCGGTTCTTAAGTTCGTGGGGATTTATTGATTTTAAGTTAGTATTCGATCTTTGGCAAAGTCTTGGTTGTACATTGATGAAAAGTTCTATAACAGGGCAAAACAGTCATCATGTGCTCCCAGATTTTTAATCCTTCTTCAACTGATATCAGTCCGTGATGAATACCAACTTTCAACTGTATTCATTATCATGCAGTTCGCTTCACCATTAAATGATCACATCAGAAAATGACTGCCACAGGAATCGTAGATAAGCGTGTTTTGCATACATTAGAAACCTGTAAACGCAAAATCCCCTCAATTACTTTCAAGTATTAGAGAATAAATGTAACTACCAAGTCTTATAATCCAGATATTTTGAAAATGAATGAAATGTATCCGTAGCTGTTGGTCTATTATTTATTATTATGCATCTTCAAGTACGTGTAACTGGCTACACTTTACCAAACTAACCAGTATTTAACTAGATCAGCTTTTAGTTGAACTGGATAATAAATAAATAAGATAGTTCTTACGTTTTTTAGATTACTTTGCCATTTCATTCTGACGCCAATATCAACCAGTAAGCTATTGCTTTACTAAAAGCTAAAAAAACAAATCACTAAATGATGTAATAAGCAAACAGCGTCATGTGTCGGAACTACTGAAATATGCACAAGTAGGATGTTTACTTAAATTCACTTTATTACTGACACTCAATAAGATGAGAGAAATTAGACTATTCCTTCGAATAAAACTGTAGAACATATTTGCTGAGCTACATTCTTGTTGATTATTCATGCAATTGATAATGACTTAATTTAAGGCATAAAATATTTCAATAAAGAAAGAACAAGAATTGTGAGGCAGAATAACGTGACCGCATTCTATTTCACCAGTTTCCCATCAGCTGCTTACAACTTAGAGCTGACTGACTGGAAGCAACATGCTTTACTATGGGATATAAATATTTGCATAAAGTTGAGAAGTTTCAGTTGTATATTCGGCACAACAGAGAGTTCAAGAAACGTCATTTTGTTAGTAACACAGTGTTTTGGTATTCAGAACTAAAGGTTACGTAAGAAGACTAAAAATAGATTATCCAGAACCCAATAACAAGCAATACAACCAATAATGTAATAAGTCGAAATAAGTCAAAAAGAATGCAACGCAAGATGTTGTACAAACTTCAAAACGTTTAGTTTAGCGATCGTACCATCAAATAAGAGGAAGAGTAAAACATTACGTTACCAGACAAAAGAAACACTGATCACTAATTAACTTTGATATCAATAGTTTGAACTCCACAGGCTCAACGAAATTCAGAAGCGTGAAATTATTCTGTTTGTTAGTAACATTGAAAGATTTCAGGCTATCCACTTCATATGATAATCATAGATAGTGCATAGCAGGGGAATCCAGGAAGCGATCCCGAAGGAAGCAACATCACTAACTGAGAGGCAGATACATCCAGCCGATGAGTCCCAAATACGACGAAACGCGTGTCCTGGATTCCAAAGCTAGCTACTATCCATTAATAATATATGATTAAAACACAGGCAATATCGAGGCACGCACACAGAAGCTCATAAGCCAATAGAGACCGCCAATTCAGTTTATTCACCGACGGGATAATGAAAGCAATGACACTGTATAATACATATTTCATTTCGGTGCGATACTCAGTGACTACACTATTGTAAACATTTGTTCCTGTGAAAAATAAACCGTCAGGTGACACTGTGTGTGCGTGCGTGTGTGTTCAAAGAACCTATGGTTAGCTGTTCTCCCTGTTCTATAAATATATACCTGCTACCCCAGATTCACGTTAACTTCTGCATACAATTCATAGTAACTTCGAAATACTACTTGTTCACTTCTCATTGTACCAAGAAACATGTTGTTGTGTAGGAAAGGATCGACTTTACTTCACGATGTATTCCATTCGTTGTGATTTGATTATCAAACCTTCATTAATTTTCCATACTCTAATCGTTGCTATTTCTCTATTACGTCTATTCATAAAGGGGAAAATGTTTATGGAATGAGGACAATTGTGAGAAACTGAGATTTAATGAAAACATGAATAATACATTGCAACAACTGGTGTAGTCATCATTCTGTTGTGCCTCTCGTAGTGTAACACTGAGGGTGAAAACATCATCAAATAGTACATACAACGAATTGACTCATTCCACACACCTACACATTCATAGAGATTCTTACAGTGTCTATAAAGACAATACTAACAAGTGAAATAACTAATCAGCTTTCTCGATTTCACCTACAAACTTAGTTTTCCAATACAATAAATAAACCTAATTGACCATCTCACTAGTTGTTGGCGTGAGTTCTCAAGTCACTCAACTGTTAAAACTAGCCTAACAATCATTGGAATAAACAATTAGGATTTCATATTTGATGGATAAACTACCTTCACATTTGTTGTTCACTGAAGAGCAACCAATTCCACTTTGTCTCATTCTGAGTTCTGACCGTATTCTGTCGAGCATTTCGCGAGTCACTGACTTTATATACCACCATAGCTTGTACTGAAATCACCAATCAGAATTTACACTGAGAATATAGTTTTTCATACAATGGATGGACGTAATTGATTATCTCATGAGTTGTTAGGGTGACCTCCAAAGTCACCCAATACAGTCCGGTTGCATGTGCAGCGATAGATAGGTTACCAGTGGGTAACCAGAGTACCTGTGTAGTCCATAATGCTAGTAACTGATCGAAATCTACTCAGGAAGTTCTGTAATATGGACGTTGAGAGAAGTGACATCACACTACGGTGGAAACCGTGACTCTCAGATGAGTGTCACTGCTCATATTATATTGTTTATTCATGACTTCATTGACAACATTATTGTGTGGATCAGTTTAACAGCTTTCGATTGACACCTCATCCATTTCCGTATGACTTACATTTCGGAAGTAATTGTATGTTGGATGAAATGCATTCATTATTGTGGATTTTCTCATTTTTTGTGTGATTCAAACTGGTTGTTTCATCTTTATAAATTCTGGTGTTTTGTGTCTTGTGATTTGGGTGTATGTATGCATATGAAGTAGATCACTCGAAATCTATGACTGCAGTAAGCATAGATATTGTGTTGTATTGTAGGCGGTGGAGGTGGCCTTATTGCGTGAGTCATCTTTGTGGTCAGGTGGGCTGGTCAAATATATTTAGGGTTACGACTGAATCAACAGAATCACATGCTTGAGACAATTACAACTAGACAAAGTGGTGATAAACCATATTTTGATTTCCTATACCGGACATCAACTAGTTGAACTGGTTAAATGTCAGAGTGGTTTTTATCACCACTTTCAAGAACACCGATCACCGTCACTAAAGTAGCGA